CGGCGTACCCCTCCGCCGACCGGTTCCGCGCGCCGAGGCGGGCAGATGGCGTTCGCCGGTGAACAGATGACCGTTGGCGTCCGTCGCCCGGCACCGGGATATTAGAACCCGAGGTAACCGTTCTCGCGGTATCGTGAGTTTCGCGCGCGCGATCATCGCCGGCGGCCGTCACTTGTCGCGCGCGCCCATGGATTTAGCACGCATAACCGCGGTGCTGAAGTCTCGGCACGTTGAAACCGTCCGGGAAAAACGGGGGAGGGGCGACACGACGCGGTACGAGCACAACAACTATTGTTCGTGGGCGGCAGCGGTGGGGCATGGCCAATCTGCTGCGGTTACTTTCGTCGGCGTACGCTGAACGCGCGCGATAAAAATTCTTCCGTCGTCTCTCCGCGGCGAAATCGAATCGCGAGGCCCCTCTCCCACCGCGCGCATATTACGGCAGGTGCGAAAAATCGCAAATTTTACACCCCGCAGCTGTGTTGTATAATCGAAAACGTACGTTGTCCGTCCGGCCGTTGTTCGACGACGCCGCGACACCGACGTTTCCTTCCACGTACGAAACGCGTTCTCCGTCGAGGCTGTGCTGCAAGTCGTGTCGCGTTGGTCAAAAACCCACACGCTCGGATCGCGTAGCGTACGCCCAACTCCGCGTGTCACGTCGATCACGTACGACGATTATTGCATACACCTGCAATTTTGTTGACCGATTTACAATGTATCGATACTCGAAATATACCTGACGTGTAAATGTTGATCTGGTTTTCTAATGTATCGGTTCGGATTGATAAGACAAATCAATGGTTTCCGTGGAAATGTATTTTTTATAGCCATTGAAAGATGGAAAAAAAATAAAAGACTGATAACCCAACAAATCAAAAATATCTGGGGCGTCAAATTTTGTTATTATAAACGTAAAAGATGAATAAAGTTACATATATTTTAGATCGATGGGGTTTGAGTGGTCTAAAATTTACATTTTAAAAAACACTTCAATACAATTTTTTCTTCGAAACAGAAAAAAAAATAATTCAAAAATATTTATCACATTGATGTAATATACAACGTCAGTTTGATTTTTGTTCAGTTCGGATTAAAAACTTCTTATAATAACTTCTTAACATTATTAATTTTACTATAAGAAATTTTATCAGATACCTTATTGCATACTGCTAATTCTGATAAATATATTTTTATAACTGAGATATTTTCTTGTTTATGAACAGCGAACCATCAAAAACGTTTTGCAACTATTGGAAACGCTGTCTTAGGTTATACCATTCATTATAGAATAGATGCATATATTTTTTCAGTAAAATAATAGATAAATTAGTGATGGAAATAATCGAATCGTACAATAAATATTTGTTCTATTTTATATTTTTTATTTTCTACCTAGATACATGAAATAGATAATTCACTACCTATTCAAAAGATTAAAAAAAAGTAGTTGATACTACTTCAACTGAGTTTACCTAATTATATTGTTTTACTCGTATACACTATACACTATTATAATGAGTATGAAGTAAGTCTCTAGTCAGTTGTATGCAGGTAGTGAGATAAAAAAACCATTTTATTATTTTATCGTTCGAGTGAAAACACCATTCGATTATTTTATCATTCGAGTGAAGAAATCTTTTTTTTTTTATTGTTATTACTAATCATTCGATTATTCCCATCACTAAATTAAACTAATCCGACTGTGTGTTTCAATAATTATAATTTGTATAAAAATGAAACCGTTCCGAGAAACGCCCACATAATTGTACGATACGATTGGTATCCAATAAATTTTAACTTCTGGGCAATAATTTCTAGACAGAAAGTTCTATGAATATACATCTCTACGACTTTCATTAAAAATTGTTTTTCACGATTTTGATGATACAATAATATCCAATAACATTCAAATATGATCGGAGTCATGGTGTTACCACACGAATATTGTTAAAAGAACCGACTTAAGCGAATAAAATGTACCAAGTACAGAACGTCGGATTCATGTGTGTCAACAAGTCTGTTTTTTAGTTTCCCTCGGTACTCGCCGCCGTCGTCTTATCTAACCTAACCAAACTACATAGTATTGTGTTTAAAATGCACTTTATGAATAATAATATGTACGAATGGAACCGCGACTGTACGATGCGATCGGACGCAATGACATCGAAAACAACTGGTGGACGAGGTAATATTTATCAAGGTGACGACTGGTTGAACGGCCCACGGGCGTTGCTTTTCGCGATGAGGCGACGGCGACTGCGTGATTTCCACTCGGTCACCGCAATCTTTTTTCCCGTTTCCCACGTCCCTCCATCGGAATTCATAACAGTTGATGACGACGTTTTTTTTCCAACAGGATTGAAGTCATACGAAACGCGTACCGGGCCTGGCGAATCGAAGGAATGGGAACATTTTCGACGGACGGATGTAAAAAAAAAAAAATCGACGTACTTTTGTCGCCGTTCGTATTCGTTTCGCTCGAAACACAACGAAATAGTGAACAGTGGACTCCACGAGACGTATTCGTGTACACCCGTTTCCGAATCGTTTGTCCACGTGGAGATAATAATGATGACACGCATTCGTACATCGCAATCGCAATACGCCTTTTTTGCGCAGTGAATTATTCTGTAACAAAATATCAGTAAAAAATGGCGTGCACCAGGCCCTGATTTAGAAAAATAGGGACTTTGTGCGCTGTTTACTTTCGGGGCCCTTTTAAACTAAAAATGTTGATAGAAATGAAAAATTAATTAATTAATAGGTATATTTATATGAACATTTATTACAAATTACAATGCACATTTTTTTTAGGTTTTTTCGCAAATTCTGCTAACACATCTTCAAATGTTAATTGTTTGATAATATCATGGTTGATTGCAAGTAATGATAAGGAATCTAGTCTTTCTTAGGTTGAAGACGAGCGCATACGAATACTAATACTTTTGAATGTAGAAAATGAACGTTCACTACCTACTACAATTCGTGCACTACATTGACAAATATATTTGTAATATGTTAGTGGTATGCTGTGAGGGAGGAAGGGCTTTGGGGCTGAACCCCACTCAAAAAATATTTTGTACATTAGATAATATTATAGCTTATCGTTTTTTTTTCTGTATAGAAAAAGAATGAGGCCCTATAATGTTGGGGGCCCAGCACTTGTGCACTGTTTGCTCATTTGTAAACAGGGCCTGGTGTACCACAAATGGTACTATTATAATATTGTAATTTTTTTTTATTGCATATTTTAACTTTGTTTAGTGCATATTTGCGTGCATATTATATAATTTGAAATGCATATAAATCTGGACTTTAATTATGATGTATGAATTAATTTCTGTTTCTCATGATTTTAATATTTTGTTTATTTTCTATTTAAATTCGTTTATCGTTCAACATATATAAATTTAAATATAAATACGCCAAGTCCGTATTTTCGTAATAACGATAAAGCGCGCCAGGTACCGGAGCTCGTGTGACTAAGTGGAAAAAAATCGACATAGCGCAGTAACGTGGAACACGAAAAGGATAATTTAGTGCATATTGGAATTGATGGTGAAACAAAAAAATGTGCTCCAGTACATGTTGCGCGATGTCGTGGAAAACGCTATATGTAAAGCCACGGACACACTAGAGCACGCATAGACCGAACATGTGTCCTCATATTGTGTGTGCTCAGTATGGACGTTACCACGCACAAGCTTGAATGCGATAAATCTGCGTTCCGAATATTCAGTTGTGTGGTGAACGTATACAGTGTACGTTGCTTTTCGTATGTTGTGTTTAAAATTTAAACTTAAATGATAATCATTTAATTTTTATTGTCACTCAAGTGAATTTTTCACGCCGAAAAGAACCCAACAAACTTTGGCCATTATTTTTTTAACATATTCGACTTCCCTATTTAAATTTTTTGAGATTTTTTTCCACGCTTCGTTTTTTTTTTTTTTTCAGAAAAATAATAATTATTTTTTGGGTTCCATAGCACTGGGCGTTGTTGGTAATGTTGAATGAAATCCATACACAATTCATTATTCCATTCCATTTCGAAAAATTTAAATGAAAATTAATAATAATGATTGTTGAATAATTATACACTAAACTTGTATAATCGTGCGCGCGGTCGCAACAATACTGAGCATACAGCCGTCCATACTGAGCAGTATGATGATTATCGCGACGCACAACGAACACGAGCCGGTCGTCCCGGGTCGCGTTCGCTGTGCGTCAAAAACACTCGAGCGTGCTCGATATACCGTCATCACCAAGCAAATTTGTAGAACGCACAACATGAGCACACATGCTCAGTCTGTGCATGCTCTAGCGTGTACGCGGCTTAACACGATAAACTGATAAGCCATTCAACAAAATAATCAATTATTTACATTTTATGAGAATAATATAGAAGTTAATTAGTTCTATGTTCGATTTTTATCCAAACGCAGATCGATCGATGTTCTTAACCTTTTGACTGAAACAAAATAATTAATACAATTTAAATTACCGTAACAAACAAAAAAAAAATAAATAGAAAACAAGCTCACATCTTATTTAGCGAATGGTTTGTGGTCAAATGCATGAGATAACATTAAGACGATAACATACATTTGAATAATAAATACCAGAAAAATATAAATAAAATTAAAACGAAAATAGAATATTTAGTAATATGAGTAATATTATTTGAGAACATTCATTACGGAAAATATTATTAAATAAGTTTATTGTAAAATAATAATTATTATCAATAACCACGATAAAAGTTGTTATCAGATAGTCAGAAAATACTAAAATGATACAATATTATCGATAAATATTTACGTTTCGTAAAATTATAAACAATTTTTATCACAGTCATTTATACTATCGTACATTTTTAAATGGATGCTGTTTTTGTATCCAGTCTAAACCGAGAGCTGAAAAACGAAGAAGAAGTATAAGAATAATTGATTTTGGTGGAATATTTTTGCATTTGAACGGTAGTAAAATCAGTACTATATTGTATTTGTAGGATCATCAATTTTTAATTTTTTTTTCCTCGTCGTTTAGTTACTCTGTTATGCTCTGTAATTTGACAGATTTTTCTATTCTCGGAAAGTATTTTAATATGTACTCTTGACGCTCCAGTATAGAACAAATAAACTAAAATGTTATTAAATTATATTTGATTATGTAGAATTTGATTGTTTTGGAAATTAATATCGGGTATTCAAAACCATTTTACATACTTCTTTTTTTTAATTTTAAGTTCATTCACTAAATTTTTAATTTTGTATTATCTAGAGCAGTTTATTATTATTATTTAATTATTATTTTATTGAATAAACGCCCTTTGTACAAAATAAATTTTAAATTATTGATAATAAGAAAAAGTATAATAATGGTAAAAACTAACACATGATGATTAATTAATAATCGAAATAATTTATAGAAAATAGCGTGCATTAATTATTGAGTATGTAGCTTTTACAAATTAAAGATTGGGGATGTTTTGGCATTAGACCTTAAACGTTTATGGGTTTATGGCTCAAATAATTGGTGGTACTCAGGGAGATATTTACAAGTTTCCCACGTGTAGGCCAATGGTAGATTGCTGCTCTAAATACCTAAAATAATATACCGCTCTAATTAAACTCTTTTTAACTGACGAACGCTGTCGCATGATAACGTTTGTGGGTTTCATTACCATGTTCAAGAGTAGATCGAACAATATCATCACATACTGCTATTTAAAAGTTTTAATTTTCTTATTTCAAGCATGTAAGTTTAAAGTATGTAATACAGAGATTTACAAGTATTAAAATATGCAAATATATGTATAATGTAAGATATAATGCATAGGTTACAGCTTCAAGATTAGGCATTTATTTATTTATATAGTACAACAACAAACAGATTTTATGAGTTGAGCAGCAAGTTTTTTTAAATTAAAATTAATTAATATAATTTATTTGGTAGTAAACCATTGATGTACAATTAATTGAGCTGAAATTTAAAATTACAGGAAAAATAGCTAGAAATAACTATGAGTAAGTATTCAAGTGATTCAAATTCTCGTGACAGAACTAGAAGTTATAGTCGTTATTATAACCAAAGGCACAGGTGAGCGTCACTACTTATTTATTCAAATTTCCAAAATTACATTTTTAATACATTGATTAATAAGAATTTTGTTATTATATTTATCATGATCAATATTTTATTTTTGCTTTTATGAGAACTTTAATATATTTCAAATATATTATTATTTTAATTTTATTCAATTACTAGTAAAATTAATTTTTAATTATAACATTATTATTTATTTTTTCAACTATTGAAAAAATGCATTAAGAATTGTTATGAAAATGAATATTGAAGGGAAAAGAGAAAGAGGAAGACCAAAAAATAAATGGTTGAATACTATTGAGAGTCATATGAAAGCTGTTGATGTGTGCTTAAAGGATTTAGAAAATTGAGACTAGTAGAGGTTTAGGTTAAGGGTGGCTAACCCCAAACATTTGGGAGAAAGATGAAGGAGAAGAAAAAGAAAAAGAATAACTATGAGATTAACAACAATTTTTTTTTTAAAAAATAAAAAAGATATAATTTTTATTAATTTATAATTTTATTGATATTTAAAAATTAAAATTATATTAATTCATTTATATTAGGTCTAATTAATTTTTTCTTCTTAAGGATTGATAAATCTAGACTTCAATTTAATTTTCATTATATTAATATTATTGAAAACCTATTAAAATTAATTAATAGTAATATATTAAAATATATGCATTATAGTAAGAATGTAATTTTTAATACTTCTTATAAAACATATTAAGAATACATTAAAATTCATCTAAAATGCTCACCAGTGTCAAACTTGTAATATTTTTTATAAGTAAAAATTGTTGTACTAACAACTTATATTGTTCTTAAAATTTCTTATTTATAAAACTTAAATACATAATCATAGTCGCCCGAATAGGGTAGGGCAAATGGGACAAGTGCCTTAGGGCGTACAAAGTATTATGAATTAATTTAGACGGCGTCATAAAAATTAATGACAATAAAAATAGGTTTTTCTATTTTAGATAGGTAAGTATTAATTTTTTTTTTTTATACTGAAATATCTGAGTACCTATAAAATTATACAGTATACATTATAAAATATAAAATTATGTAAATAATGTGATACATGCCTTCATGTATAATATTACCATAGAATAGAATAGAATTTATAAATTAATAATGATAACTGATGATCTCAAATTATGACTTTTTAAGTATTGTATAGATATTAGGTAATAAATATCATATTATATTGATTTGACTTTATATTATGACGATTATTATCTGTGAATCATACCATTATGTGAATCATTACCAGGATTCGGTAATAATATCATTAAAAAGTACTAAAATACGTACTATAAAATGAGTAAAAACATTTCAAAATATACCCTAAAAATAAAAATAAAAGATATGTAAATCAAATTTTAATTAAATTTTCAGCTTTTACTGACAGTTTTTTTATTTTTTTATATTATTACCTATAACATTCTTATGAATTAATGCATTTATAAAAAAAAACTAAAATGACCTAGTAAAAATTTTAAAAAAATTGTGATAAGAAACAAAAATGTGGGAATTTTTTTTATACATAAATTAATACTATTTTTAAGACAATATAAGTAATATAATATTAATTATTACTATAAAAATAACTAATATTTACGGTAAATTCTAAATAAAGCATTATATTATTTTGTGTCTTGACCAATAATAGCATCAAAACTTCAAAAAAGATACTGAAAATGCAAAATAGTTTAAATATGTAAAAATTAACTAAATAAAATTTCATTTTTGTATCTGTATCCTATAAAAATTAGCAAATGCTATAAAATATGAACTCTTAATATTCATTATTAATGAATATTATTACAATATTACCCAAATACATAATAAATATATGTATATTATGTTATTATAAATTTATTATAAATTTTACTCATTTCTAATAATAAATCGAGTTTGAATTAATTTAGATAATTCAGTTAACAAACATTAATTATCACAGCAATTTGATATAAATAATACCTACTCAGAAACGCAAAATGTAATTTAGTTGTAAAATTTGTAAAACTAAAGAAAGGAAAAATTCCTTTGTTTAATCTAAGAGAGTTTTATACATGATGTTCAAATATTATATTATCATATCTGTTATAAAATTATAAAAACATTATTATTATTTATTATTATTATGTTGTCTTATATATATAAAAGGCAATTGTAATATTTACTTGAATGCTTATGTTAATATATTATTTATGACTCATATTTATATGTAATTTATCAATACCAATTTTTTTTTATAATTTTTATTTATAGTTTTGTGAAAAAAGTGAAGAATGTCAATTTTGAATTAATAATAAATAAATAGGTACCTTAATTATTAAGTATTAAACATATTTAAGGAATGAGGTAAATTATAGTCAAAAAATGTGAAATCAATTTTATAACAAAAAAATTGGGATTATGGACCAAATGTTGTTGCCCTGGAGCATTATTGGCAGTTAAAACGACACTGTACACAATATATTTACATTTTATTGTTCATATATTTGTTACAACTATACTAAATATTTTGCATACAATCAATAATATATATAATTTATATGATTTATAGGTCTTCAAGTTCTTCATCCGCTGAAAAATCAAGACATTCCAAATATCGTCATTCAAGAAAAGCTGAATCTAAGTATTTAAATTAGAAAATAATATTTTTATTATTTTATTATTAATATTATTTTTAATTTTACTTCATAAACCAAAAGAATAAAAAAAATAATAATGTATAAATCATATTCAACTATAGTAAAAATATAATTTAAACTATTATTATTATCATATTTAGTAAATTTTAAATATTTGTAATAATATAAATGTAATTGGTACTTAAATAAATAATTAAACAGAAGAATATCATTGGAAACTAAACCAAAGTATTCATTAGTCAAAAAAAAAAAAAAGTTCATATTAGTCTAAATATATTTTAATTTATGATAATTTTTTTTTTAATGTTTAAGTAGATTAATTCTTTTTAAATATTACTTACATTTAATATTTTTATATGTATTAGGTATGACAAAAAAAAAAAAAAATTACAATAATAATTTTAATACTTTTAGGCGTCATAAGAAATCAAAACGTAAACACAGGTCTAATAGTTCATCAGATCGTTCAACATCTAGACACAAACATTCTAGCCGTTCTCATCACAAAGATGAAAGTCGCTCAAAAAAAAAACACCGCAGAAGAAGTTCATCTACCAGTAGTGACTCAGATCATTCAAGTATATCAAATAAAGATAATTATTCAAAAAGTTCCAAAGCATCTCATAATGAAAAAAGTAAAAATGAACAACCTAATCTAGTGTTTAACTCCGAATGTGAAAAATCGGTAGTAAAATCTGAAGCTGTTACATCTAAAGACGAAAATATAAATTGGCTTGAAAAAAATGTTTGTAAGTATATTTTAAGTATTTTTTGGTTTTTTTCTTTCCGTTAAAAAACTACTCAAAATAAGGAATATTTTAACAATGATTTTTTTTTTTTTTTCTAAAAACACTTTATGATTTTATTCAACTGACTAATTATAATAATTTTAATTTCAGATGATGTTATGAGAAGAGAAAATGAAATTGAACAAATCAATCAAGAAGGATTTGTGTTCAAAGTATTTAAACCATCAAGTGAACTGAAAGAAAAGTGTATTGAACATTTGAACATCAGTTATGATGTACCAAAATTTAATGATGATATAGTTAATAATTTGATAGTTGAAGATTCAGCATTTTTGATATCAAATCGACATAGATTATTGAATGCCAAGGTATTTCTAGTTAGATTCATATTTAATTATGTATTATCTAATTTTATTTTTATTTCAGTACAAGTTACTTACAAAAAAGGAACGGTGTGATATCTGGGCAAGATATTTATTTGATTCTTACAAACAGTCGGAGCAAAATAATGAATAGTTCTATTATTGTAATTAGGAGAAATTTATTCACGCACAATATAAATCAGTTACTTTGGTTCAATGTGCCAAAAAGTTGACTAGAAATTTTAAACTATAATTAAATTGATTAATTTAATTTTTAAGAACGAATGAAATTAAAATTATAAGTATTATTTGTATTTTTAATGATTTAGATTATATTTATTTAGAAAAAACTATTTTTAATTATTATCTTTTTATTTAGCTTATTTAGCTTACATATTTTACTTATAATTTACACATATAATAGAGCTTCTATGAATGTTATAAAAAATTGTCAAATGACATATATTCTTATAGCAAATGCGATATTATTTAATGCCTCTATATAATATTTTACATATGTCTGGGAAAAATGGTTATGATTTATAACTGTTTAAAATTTATAATGTAAAATGAAAAATTTTTGATAACTTATATCGATTACACTAGTTATTAAATGATAATCATAACAAAATTAGTTAATTTTTTTTTTTTTTTTAATATTATTTCCATATTAATGGCATAATACATATGTATTGTAAATGACAAATTTATGTTCATAACTTTAACCATTAACAGATTGGGGTTATATACTTATTGTGCTATATTCTAGTATCACTTGTATTATATTAGCTGTATTTTAAAGTCTTTGGCAGAATATAGCAAACTTTTGTTTACAATCTTTAGTAATTATATTTACATTTTGATTATTAATAATTAGAACTCGGATGGTTATGACTTGGCATATTTTTTTCACGTAACCAGAATTATACCCTAATATGATGTAAATTTGATTCATGAAATCTCGATTGCAAATATACAAATTTATTTACCATATTTATTTTGACATTTTTGGGCATATAAATGCATATATCGATTATTTCTAGATTAAGTAGCATATATTTTATAAATTATAGCTGAGCCCGTGCACTTCATAGCTCATATATAGAATTCGCCCGTGTGCAGTTATTGCTTTCTCTAAATGCAATTCTTAAATCAGATGTTTATTATTTACCTTCTTTCTTTTTTCGATCCCCTAGCAACAAACGAATATAATACATATATGACGTCATCAAATTAGTCGCAAACTAAAATCTGTCTGAAATCATTATTTATCGATAATAGTGTAATTTTCGTTCATATCTACGTTCGTACATTCAGAGCGCATCCAACGATGTAGCATTTGTGAATATGTGATGGATAAAAAAAAATTTCATATATGACGTCATAAAATTAGTCGCAAACTAAAATCTCTCCGAGATCGTTATTTATCGATAATTGTGAAATTCTCTTTCATATCTTAGTTCGTACGTTCAGAGCGCATCCAACGATGTAGCATTTGTGAATATGTGATGAATAAAAAAAAATTTCATATATGACGTCATCAAATTAGTCGCAAACTAAAATCTCTCTGAGATCGTTATTTATCGACAATAGTGAAATTCTCTTTCATATCTTAGTTCGTACGTTCAGAGCGCATCCAACGATGTAGCATACATCAATATAATATCAATAAAAAAAAAAAAATTCACATATGACGTGCGTGCGTGATTAATATTGTACACTTAACTCCGGAACCACATATCACAGTGCGTACAAACTTCACAGAAACCATCTACATATCAATCTTAATATGCTGTTGCGTGCCGTCGCTCAATCGTATATGATAGTTAAGTTTTTAAAGGATAGACTTCAATAAAAATACTCAATTGTAATTTAAACTGTTTATTTAATAATTTTTCTAAGTACAAAACATTAATTTAAGAAATAATGTGGCGTGAAGGTGCTTGCGACTGTACATGTAAACCACATCTGAATATTGGTCTGTTCCCAACCCCCTTATATACTTAGGTTTGGTGAAGATCAAACGTGCCGCGCTGGGCGATAGTTGTTTTCAACTATAATAAATAATTTGTCTCTAACCCGCTATTTATTACCTAGATGACCTTATTCGCACTTATTCCATATTTGCCACGATTTTTTCCCAGTTACAATCCTATATATAACCATGCGATTCACATATAATAAATGTACTGGTTTATCTTCTGACTTTTAACTAAAATTCATTTCTATTTTTACGACAGCGAATATTGTGTTAATAATAATCATTTTCTTGATATCTACTATTTATGATCTACATGGTCCCGTCCATGTCGTATGAGTCGTAAGGACCTACATTCATGTATGTCCGCAACAATGCTCTAAAATTTTTATCGAAATTGGTTCGGTGGATCTTGAGCTATAAAATTTATTCAAAATGTACATCAATTTATATATATATAGATAAGTATAATATTAAAAATTGTTTATATTATTATAAATTATAAATCATTACTGTTCATTTTATCATATTAAGTCTACAAAAACTTCTTGTAAGATCCTCAAATTTAATAATGTGCAGTGTAATCCTGATACTTAAAGTAATTAACCTATGTAAAATTTAACTTGAATAGATCGAAAAGGAATTAATATTATTTTTTCATATATATTAGCTGTGTTTTTTGTAATAAAGTAATTTTAAATACATATTCGTGTATACATTCGAGTATATACGTATTTTGAATTAATATAAACTATTTTTTTGCATATATTTGTTAGAAAAAATAGTTATATTTAATATATTTTATGGCATATAATTGCATATTTTAACATTTTATAATGCATATTTTTATGAAATTTTGGTCATTAACATCCGAGATGTATTAATAATGTATATTTACAATAACAGTCTGTAATATTATATTATTAATAAATAATTATTTTTATAAAATTTTACCTCAAATAGAATTAGATGATTCTTTAACCTGATAACTGGTATTGCTATTATTACTATTACTATTATTTTTTTTTTTTATTTTTACTGTTGGAAAATGTTAAAATTTAATATATAAAAAACAATGTTTAATAAATCACTATAAGAGACATTGGTGTGCGAATAGGGGCAGCATAGTGTGCTCTTGCTGTCATTGAATTCTTTAAATATATTTGTAAGCGTCGAACAGTCCAAGTTGGACCATTTTATAATGCTCAATAAAAGTAATTTGGTTATTAAAGTATATTGAATTAGCAAGCTAATCTTTTCTGTATTTAAATATGTTATAGGTTACAAAAATGTACAAAGAAATGAACGTAAAAATTCCAATGGTAAAAAAAAAAATATATATATATATATATATATATCAACTTAGATGTTAATAAAACTTAACATTTATTTGAAACTATATATGATGAACTTAGAGTGCTGGTATTTTTTTATCCTTTTTATTTTATACTATTTCAAGGATTAGATACTATATTAAAACAATATATATTAGACTTAATATGTGCTGTCAGAATGTTGATAAATTTAAGAAATGAGATAAAAACTACAAGTTATGATTTACTGTATAAATATTTTGTTATTTTAACAGAAGAATTAAGTACTAAAGTTAAAATTGTAATTGCTAGTAATACAAATACATCTTATTCTGTTTTAGTGTTTAATTGGCTTGATTGATTAAGTTAGTATAGTAGATCTTCAATTTTTAAACAATTTTTTCATTCTTTTAAAATATTTTATTTTATATAAGTTACAAGTTGCACTTATGAGCATACATTTTCTAAACAAATTATTGTCAAGAACAAGTTAAGGAACACTATCAGCCAAGAAAGATTAAACGATTTATTTTTTTAATTTGTTGAATAAGAACTAACCAATGGTTTTGATGTAAATAATGTTATTGATAAATTTAAACACTTATTCTCAAGTAAATATCTGCTTGCATTATAAACATAGGCGTGTTTACGGCTATGGCCACTCTGGTAATGGCCAGACCTGCAAAATCCAGCTTCGTTTTAAATTTATGCTTAAATCATTGAAAATAATTACTAAAAAGTAAAAAGAACGATTAAATAGAACAGAACTAAATAATAAATATTTTCACATAAAATATTATATATGTATAATATGTTGTGACAAAAACTAACGAATAATATTTATTATCTAATATCAATAGCTATAAGTACCCGTGTAGTTCTAGTTGTATTTTATGTTATATATGTTATGCCGAATTTATGAAATTGCCGATTTTATGAAATCAGCAACGTTGTCACCGAATACATGAAATCGGCAACTCAAAGTACATAATACTGCCGATTGCGTGAAATCGGCAAGACCCTTCTTAAAAAATTATAAAACATAATTTAATTTAAATATATATATAAAATATACCTTTAATTTTTTTGAAGAGTGAGTATATTATTTACTAGCTATAATTACTGTAGTAGCTACAGTTACTACGTACGTTCTCGAAGTAGTGTATTATGTATAAGTCACTCTTTGTCTTCATATCTTAAATGAAAATTTAAATTTTCCTAATGAAAAATGTTATTGGCCATACCTGCACGAAATTCCGTGAAATAAATATTTTGGTATAGATTATTGCAGCAATTTCCAAATTTTTTCAGCAACGGAGCCTTTTTCTTAAACAGTATTTTCTCGCGAAACCCCAAGAAATATTTAATATTAAGTTTTCCTGTGTTCTATGAAAAATATAATATAATATTATATGCTATTTCTATAGAAGGCTACTCAAAACGAGATCATGTATATATAATATTATATTTATACACAGTATAACGGCTGGGTTAGATATATATATTTATTTATACCTGGAATGGGAATGCTTATTATCTAAACGATTATATTTTCTTATCCGAATTTTTATATTGTTCGTTTCAATTATATTTGAGTTGACGGAGTCTAGTTAAAATATATAATATATATCAGTGGCGTATACAAGGGGGGTGTTTGGTAGATATGACATCCCCCTTGAGTCGTATCATATATTACATTATTATAGGAATATAGGTAAATCAATAATACAATATGAAATATAAAATAATGCACAATACTAATTACATATATACAGGTTAACATTATCGCGATTGCGACAATACGTGACGAAAATTATTCGTTTACGTTTTCGTGCAACACAAAACGTTTAATAATAATAGGTATTGTAGCATCGAATACTGATATTCGAATAGTCAAATATTCGAATAATTTATAGTAAAGCTATCCGAATTCGAATATACATTACATCTCTATTACAGACATTATGTATACACATTAATTAATTAAAATAAAAGTTTTAGTTT